TTCTTTATAGTAAAATGCATCAATATTTTAAATACATATTTAAAACACTATTATTTAAGACCAGAAAATATTTTTTATTCACAACCGTGTTTGTCAAACTTCTTGAAAATTTTTTTTACTCTTTTTCACGAAAATTGAAGATGCGGTTGAGAATAAAATTGTATACAAACCTCGGTGGAAACTTTCAACACTTTCCACCTCGGTATGTAATCTACTATTGTTTGTTTGTTCTTTTACTATTTTTTACTTTTTATTTCCGGTTTATATTAAGAAAAAACGGGAAGTTTGTGACGTAACGATTTTAATAAAATTACCACTCTGAAAAATTGGTAAATAGAAAGTCAAATGCAAGATTAAGGATGCATTAGAAATTTAAAAGGCACTCATAATGGAAACATTAAACTTGTGATTTACAGAATAAACAAATAAAATATTAGCAAGCTTGAGCTAATGAAGCCACACAAAGAGACATTTTATATAAACCATACTGATAATAAATCGCAACCATAAAAAATGATTGTGTGCAGGAACTGAAAGTGTTAAACTAGCCGTAATAATCCAAACAATTGAAATTAAACGGTCGGCTTGTCATTGCAAGAAAAATTGAATGCACTTTGAACAACCTTGAACAATAAAAAAATCGAAAGTGTGTCACGTGATGCCGGAAAATAATTGCACACATTGTCACTTAATATTTATTCAAGGCGTATTGTATATCAATTTTGTCACCAAATCAACATCATCCTTGTATTTTTCTAACTCGTCAGTTGCAGTAAAATTCGCATTCCGGTCCACTCGATTAACCGGATTTTCCGGACTCGCCAGACTGACCACCGGAAACAAAGCTTCCAAAAACGTGGCCCCGGAGGATTCTCCCTCACTTTCCGGTAAAAACTTCATCACAAAGTTGCACAAACGTGAAACAAAATCGAGAAAGTTTCGGAAAAGGACGAGATTGTGCCTCGTCAGGAGCTCCGTGGCCAACTTGATAAAGCGAATTTTCAAATCAAAAATTTCGTAGAGGGTTTTCAGCTTGTTTTGGACCAATTCAGAGGTCAAAAACGAGGTGAGCAGGGCCGTACCCACGTCGACATTGCTCGGGGGCGGCTCCTCGAAATCCGGGAAGTCGGTTTGGGCCCCCACGGCGACTACCAGGAACAAAATCTGCTTTGGTTAATTTTTCAAAAAAATTAAAAACTAAACTTACTATCACAAAAAGTTTCATTTCGACCACAAGTCAAGCGAAATACTGGTCAAATTTAGTCCAAGTGTCATTTTTAAATAGTTTAGGGTCGTTAAAGTGTGCTTAAGGGCTTTACCTTGAAATTTGTGATTTTCCCAGTGAGATGGGAAATGAAATTTCCTAGTGATGGTAAAAACATTATAATTAGTTTAACAATAGTGTAACGCGTGAAAGTAGGCACAACCGTGAAGTTGTCAACAATGTTAAGTATTCCGATAATTTGCATTAATTTATGCGAAGAGAGTAGAAATGTTACGATTTAACCATTTTTAGCACATTTTTCTCTCGTTCTTGACCCTCTTGGTGATGGTCTTCGCTTAATTTGGTAAATTGAGGATGATGACATTGATATTGAGACAGGTATTGATGATGCAACGTAGGCCGAAACACGTATATGGTTTTAGGATTAAGAAATTAATTGAACATTACATAAAATTAAGAAAAATTAACATCTGTATCAAATAAACATTTACAACGTGCTTTTCATTTTCCACCGAGATGAAAGTGAAAGAATTCATGTTACAAAATTACGCAATTAGAAGTTTATGGAAAATGCCTTGCTTCGTAATCTGTTTTTATTCAGGAAAAAATTTAGCAACCGATAATAACACTGATAGAAATTATTTGGAAAAATTCTATCACTATGTAACACTTAATTAGACTAAAGTAGTAGGGTGTTACATTTTAAATAACAAAAAAAACAACATTTATAGTAGATATAGTTCAATAAAAAATAAAACAAATATAAAATTTTGTTTTTTTTTAAAGAAAAGTTATCATATTGTGTATAAAATAGTACTATACCAGGTGAATAAAAAGCATGGAACCAAACGTTTATCGCTTAAACTATTTATTTTTTGGAAAAACTAATTGATGAATGATAAAGTGCTATGTTAATGAATAAAACTTTTCGAAATTTTCTTTTGTTTTTGAGTTCTATAAAAAAATTTTTTTTTCAAATGGCAACCCACTATAAAACCATTTTTCTCATGAAAGTTATGATCTAAGGATTAAACTATCTACCTTATAGTTAATTTTTCCAAAAATTTTTTTTTACAAAAATTGCAATTTTGACAAAAAAATCGCATAATTCAAAAACAAATTAAAATTTCGTACTCAAAATACTATCACATTTTTTATATTACTTTAATTTATATAAATTATTATTTTCTGGAGGCAAATGATTAAAAAAAAACACTTCGTTCCATACTTTATATTCACCCTGTATAAACCTCGGTGGTGATGTTATTACCGCTCTGTCAAACCTGGACATTGCCTTAAGACCTCGCGGTAATGACATATTTCTCAGCTCATATGTAAGATACTATTATACTACAGTAATACACCTATTTCTAACCTAGAAGTCAAGAATTATGATTTTGAGACCACGTGATAATAATATATTTACCACCTCGCATGTAATATACTATTATTCTGTTGTTACTAATTCCAGGAATTTTTTTTAAAATGTGGTACAAAATTTTGTCGTTTAAGGAACATTTTAAGCGGGTACAAGAAGTTTGATAAAAATTATCAAACACCAAGATGTTTGACATTATAAAAATGTGATAAGCAGTACATAAAGTCTGCGAACAAAATACAAAAGTCAAAGAAAAAAGACTAATTTATGTCAAATTTTTGTGAAAAAATTAGTTTATTTTTTCAATTTAGATATATAATTGAGATAATCAAAATAAGAATTTGTTATTTTTTATTCAATATACCTTCTATACCTATAATATGCCGATTCATAACCTTTTGTAGATCGGAAAATTTGTCATTGCATTCCGTGGTCGGGAAGTAATTTATGAAAAAAAATTCAAAATTTAGGTACTTGCAACTATGTCAGTGGATTAATTTTGACAGAAAAACTGATGTATTTTATTATTTAAACAAAATGTAATTATGAATAAAATAGTACAACGTGTTTCAAAATGATTTTCATCTATTCGCTTATGGATTTTCTATGTATAGTAAAAAATGCCGCTTTGAAAAATATTGAATTTAATTATCCTTAATTTATTTCGATTGACAGCTGTCATTGTTGACAGAACTATCTGGTTTAAAGAGAAAAATTTACATGTAAAGAAATTTCATAGGCAACTAGATGACAATCATTTTAAAAAACAAACCTCTCTCAAACGGATTTGAGCTCGAATTTGACATTTGACATATTTTCCACCACGATTCTAAAATACTATTATTTAAAACAAGAGAAACTTTTTATTGTATTAACCTTTTGGAAGTCGAGAGTTATGTCATTACATCCCTTGGTCGAGAAGAAATTTGTGTAAGACACATTTTTCACTTGGGTTGTAATAAACTATTATTTTATGTTTTTTTTGTAACCGTTTTTTTTTGTAAAAAGTCATTACATAAATAATAATAATAATTTTTTTAACAGATTTTTTTATGGTTTTAATCTCAATTTATTCTAATGCCACGAGAATTTAAAATACTTTTTCGATAAGAAATTACAGAACAATGCATTTTAATTAATTACAAAATAGTTTTTGTATTTTTTTCATTTATTTATTTTTTTTTGAGTTTGGTTAAAACAAGAACACAGTTGATTTTCAAAATTTTTATTTCAGGTCAATATTACATAAACTGCAGTAAACTAAGTACAACTAAGACACATTCACCACCTGGGTTGTAATATACTATTATTTTATGTCTTTTCATTGTACTCATATTTTTTTGTAAAAAGTTCCATAAATAATAATAATAAATTTTATTAACAGATTTTTTATGAGTTTAATTTTAATTTATTTAGAATAGTTTTTCGATAAGAAATTACAGAAAAATGCATTTCAATTAATTACGAAGTACTTTCTTGTTTTTTCCGTTTTTTTGAGTTTGGTTAAAGCAGGAACACAGTTGATTTTCAAAATTTTTATTTCAGGTCAATATTACATAAACTGCAGTAAACTAAGTACAACTAAGACACATTCACCACCTGGGTTGTAATATACTATTATTTTATGTCTTTTCATTGTACTCATATTTTTTGTAAAATGTTCCATAAATAATAATAATAAATGTAATTAACAGATTTTTTTATGGTTTTAATCTCAATTTATAATAATGCCACGAGAATTTAAAATACTTTTTCGATAAGAAATTACAGAAAAATGCATTTCAATTAATTACGAAATAGTTTTTGTATTTTTTTCATTTATTTATTTTTTTTTGAGTTTGGTTAAAACAAGAACACAGTTGATTTTCAAAATTTTTATTTCAGGTCAATATTACATAAACTGCAGTAAACTAAGTACAACTAAGACACATTCACCACCTGGGTTGTAATATACTATTATTTTATGTCTTTTCATTGTACTCATATTTTTTGTAAAATGTTCCATAAATAATAATAATAAATGTAATTAACAGATTTTTTTATTTTTTTATAATTTTAATTTATTCTTATGCTACGAGTAATTAAAATAGCTTTTCAATAAAAAATTACAGAATAATGCATTTTATTTAATTACGAAATAGTTTTTTTACGTTTTCATTTTTTTTTTTTTGAGTTTGGTTAAAACAGGAACACAGTTGATTTTCATAATTTTTATTTCAGGTCAATATTACATAAACTGCAGTAAGCTGAGTACAACTAAGACACATTCACCACTGGGTTGTAATATACTATTATTTTACGTCTTTGCATTGTACCCATATTTTTTTTGTAAAAGTTTCATAAATAATAATAATAAATTTTATTAAAAGATTTTTTATGAGTTTAATTTTAAGTTATTCTAATGCTACGAGTATTTAAAATAGTCTTTCGATAAGAAATTACAGAATAATGCATTTTAATTAATTACGAGGTAGTTTCTTGTTTTTTTCACTTATTTTTTTTTTGAGTTTGGTTAAAACAGGAGCAGTTGATTTTCAAAATCTTTATTCCAGGTCAATATTACATAAACTGCAGTAGACTAAGTACCACATAAGTGCCCATTTCCTGCATTTCAACTACCTTTTTTCGAATTAGACGGTCGATCTGGGCCAGCTTAATGTAGCTTATCTAACAATCACCATCCATCACGATAAAAATCCCCAATTTCTCTTCGAAACCCATCGTCCTTGATCATGGTCGGGTCATTCTAAGCCAGCTGTCCCATCATTCTTTCGCAATCGAAGGAATTTTTCCCACGTGATGAGCCCTCGGACGAGCAATTAAATCAGAGCAAGCGGCGTCGTCCACAAAACAAGTGAAAGTCGATGATGATTTCGAAACAATCGTCCATCCTGTGAAATAATAATTGAATCACGAACGCGAGGCTTTCTTCTTTTTTTTATTACACAATGGTACCAAAACGGCACTTGGTGGCAAAATTTCGACTGTTTGCCTAGCTTTTGACGCCTAAATCGACTATGAATTATGTAACTTTCACTTAATTGCACACTTGGGTACCTTCACCGGCTATAATAATTTTTTCTTCATTGAAGATGAAGCATTCACGATGACATAACGTCGCTAATCAAAATTTCGAGTCTATTGATTGGGAAAGGGGCCTTGGATCGGCTATTGCAACAATAAATTACAACAAACACTCATTTTTATTTACTTAAATTATTATTACAATAAATCAGCAAGGTTGCAGGTTGCCCAAATTAAATCTTCTTCTTCCTTACAATTTTAACAATTTTCCTCCTCTTGAAATGAGCACCGTCAAAGTGGGGCAAAACCCGGAAAAACACCCCATTTTCCTCCTCTTTATTTTCCTCCCGGAAAACGTGTCGAGTTTCAAAATGTGGTAGACTATTGAAATAATAAGTCACAGCTAATTTCCCGAAGTTAGCCGCTTTGTTGAAATTATTGACGCGACTATAGTGGGGCAAATCCCGAAAAATGAATATTTTTGGTTCAATTTTACTAAAATTCTGGGTTTTTTCATATAGTGGTAAAATTTTAAAGATCGGTACTACTGGTTCAGGGTCTTGCTCTTGATTGTTGTTATCTTCTTCTTGACTGTTGT